AAAAAGATTGACTAGAAGGGGGCGGGGTCGTGGGGCCGTGAAATGAAGAAGACGATAGTAATGAGGTTGGGATGTGAAACAAAAGGGGCGGGATCGTGGACTGTGGGAACTGAAAAATGAGAAGATAAAGAAGATCTCTTGATTTGGAGTGTGCTGCGCCACTGATAACTGGGAAAAAAGAAAACTGATAACTGGGAAAAAAGAAAGAAAATAATAGAGGGAAGAAATGAAAAGAACGGGGAAAAAACTAATGGATGGAGAGAGGAGAGAAAGAAAGTGAGAGAAATCGAACTCTAAGCTTAAAATATGAGTAGATTTGTGTAGGAACAATAAACATTTCAAACCTCGTAGCAACCCAACTACCTAAGAAATAAAAAAGAAAATGCTATTAAAAAATATTTTATTTTACAATGTGGATAAAAATGTCGAGATCTCAATTTTATGAAAATATCGATGAAAATATAGATGTTAGATATTTTTGAAAAAATTATAGAAATAAACAATTAGTAACAAATATTTAAATTAACAAATAAGCCATTCACATTTTTTAAATAAAGTTAAAATTTATTAATGGGTTAAAAAACACATTTCATCCCTCAACTTTCATTAAAGTACAATTTAGTTCCTGAATTGCGATTTAGTCCTTAAACTTTTAAATTAGTAACGATTTAGTCCATAAAGTTAAAAATTAAGTTAATAGTTAACAGAAATGCCAATTGCATTCAAGTCGGTTTAATTTTGGTCCGGTTCGAATTGGTTCAAGATTTGAAAGGAAAGAGAATGAAAACATTGGATCCATTCCATCTCTCCACCTTTCACGACTCGGCATTTCTCTTCTTCTGGTTTTCTGGGTAACAAAATCAGTGTGTTTGGGACTGCAATAAGGTGTTTCGCGACGAAGCCAAAATCGAAGATGAAGCCGATAGCGGAAACTTGGGACCGCGTTCTGGTAAGCTTTCCTAATAAGCCATTCCCGTTTCTGTTCCATCAGTTTTATGTATTTTGCTTCAAAGCTATTCCGTTTTCGTCACTAATTGTAGAAATTTCTGATTAAATATAAATTAGATTGCTAGAGAAAAATGGAAATCTGCGATCATTTCTATTGAGGGTTTTGCATTCTCGTTGAATTATTGATCTGGGCACTCCAGAAAAATTTGAGATGTTTCACGTACGAAAGGAAACGAGGAGAATGTGGAAATCCAGATTTCATTCTCTCCCTTAAAAAACCGTAAACCGATTTGAACCGAACCAAAGTTAAACCAACCCTACAGCTGGCCATTTAATTGGTACACATGGATCCAAGTTGGCAGCCACGTATCGCATAGGGATTAAATCGTTACTAATTTGAAAGTTGAAGGACTAAACCGTTACTTTTAAAAGTTGAGGGACCAAATGTGTTTTTTAACCTTTTTAATATTAACATTATGTCCATATTATTGATATTATGTTAATATTTTTTATACGTTGCCGAGTGATACTATAGAAATGCTGATGGCGAACCCACGTACATAAAAGTATCCATGAAAATATCGTATGTGTTGAAAATTCAATACACAAATTCTAATATACAACTACATATCAAACTTGTGTGTATTTAGACTCTAATTTTTTTCCCCTCAGTTCAACTATAGTCTGAGATGATAATAAATTCTTTGAACTATATTCAGATTGAAATAAGTTGAGAACGATTCTCGACATATAAGGTGGGAGTCAGGTCCAAACTACGATTACGACCCATTATTCAAAAAACAGTTTTGGTTTTCTTTTCGAGTGTTTCAGGAGGAACAGTCTTCAAGCCGGTGCCGTCTGCTGCTGTTTGGATGTACTTTCAAAGATCTTATCAGCATTTCCAACCTCAAATCCATCCCGTCTGTGGTGCTCTTTCACCTGTTATTGTCATGTGATCTCTATCACTCCCACTTCATTATAAGAGATAACTGATGACTTTAACAGCAAAACAGATGTCAAAACGAGCATAGGTCGGTAGTCATTGACATCTACCTCCTATTAAAAGGTTATGTGTTCGAAACCCTTTCCCATGTTATATTAAAAGAAAAAAAAAACAGATAACTCATCCGAGTACTCAAAGGGCCTACTTACCTCTGTTTCTGGAAGATGTTTATACTGAGGCAGAATTAAACGCTCGGCAAACTCGATGTACGAGCAGGGCACGGAAGTAGTAATGCCATCAGAGAATTCGAAAGAAATCGAATCCGCAAGGGTTGAACTTTGCAGTAGAAGACCATCCGGGCTTACTGAAAATGAAATGGTTCATTAGTGAGCTCAAGTGCTCACATTTTAGCTGACTGGGACCATCAACAATAGATAATCAAAACACAAGTATAGATGAAATGACTGGCAGTGCTGCATACCTTTCAAAACTCCACCTTCAGAATTCAATTTATAACCATTCCTCTCGATGAACTGATTGAGGCTTTTGATATCTTTCAAATAAGATTTCAGACGATGGGTCGAAATAGTCACGTGATTAAGTGCATAACCATTCACGAGAGTCCAGGCAGCATATTCACTCTCCCTACGATCAAAAAAAGCCATTGAGATTGGAGGTTATGGATGGTGCTCAAAGCATACATTTCACAATTACTTTCAGCTACAAAAAAACTAGCAAGTTCATGTGTCTGGTAGTAAACCATAAATGAGACTTTTAAAACATAAATTTTGGAGTTGATGGCGATTAAGAACCTCGCTAATTGCAAAAATTCAGAATGCGAAGGCTTTTCCCATGTCAAGGAACCTAGAGCACTTGCAAGAGCAGCATGCTTCTTTCCATTGTGAGAACTTTCTGTGTATTTTCTTATTATTTCCTGAACGCAGTAGGAAAAAGTTCAATCAAATTACCTAAAAGATTGAGTTCTGTAAAATTATTAGACATATAATGGACTGATTCAAAATGAAAAACAATATGAACTTGTAGTAGTTCAAGTTATGTTACATATGTATATTTAACAACATTTCCAAAATTATGCACCAATGTGGAGAAGAAAGGTGTTAGAAATCAACTCAATTATTAACCATCAATAAGACCAAGGGGTGGAAGAGCACCTTATCGACGCAAGCTTAGCAATAGCAAATACGAGAGGGATCTACTTGCCTACATAAATGAAGCACAAAATGCATCCTACCTTATGCCTAATTCTCACCGTGTTCCTAGCTGTATATACACAACACTCTAGAACTAATCATGAAATAATGGGTCAAGGACAACGATATCCCAAAAACTCTAAGTATCTCCACAATAATATGATATTGTCCGTTTTGGACATAACTCTTACAACTTTATTTTTGGTTTCATCCAAAAAGGCTCGTACCAATATCTTCCCTTATATACCATGGATCACTCTCTTCCTTAATCAATGTGGGACTTTGTTTGTCTTCCTTAATCAAACCTTACAATAATGTACATCCACTCTTCGATCAGTATCTCAACCTTTTAGTGTAAGAATCACACCCTCCAGCACACTCAAGATGAACACCCTCACATTCACTCTAAAAAATCTCAAGCAGAAAAGAACCCTTTCGTTCTCTCCCCCGTACATGAAGCTGCGTGTGGTATAAGCCAAAAAAAAAAAGGAAAAAAAAAAGTAAATAGCGCACACCAAAACCTTAAAACTAATGGGCTGAACGAAAAAAATAGGCCAACGCAAAACTAATGGTCTGAGGTGCAATTCTTAAACATGAACAGTGTTAGGATATTGTCCACGGAAAGATTGTCTGTACACATAAAAGGCTGTACACATTTATTGATGTGTCAGTCGCATCACAAACATGAACAGTGGAAACTGACTGTCAAGGACAACATTTTCCTTTTGGCCTTTCCTAACATGCGCGTGACAAAACGGTTGAGATATCCATATATAAATTAGATTTACTCAATCGTTCAGTTTAAATTTTTGAGTTCAATGATGGTTTATTCTCCCTCGACGGAAACAAAAGGTAGATGGGAATACTGGAAAATGGAGTTCTACCGTACATTATGTTATTCAGAATCCCCCAATCATTTCATTTATAAACAAGTCCAAGCTAGAGCCACAATGTTACAATATAAATAAATTGACCATGAGTATCTGTAATCATATTCCAGAGAAGTGAGAACCCAAGACAGAAGTTCTTGTCCAGATTTCAAAGCCAAAAGGTTTGAACAAAACAAAAAGCATTCAGGCAATTATGCAGATTCCTCTGTGTCAAGAAATTCCTAAAGCACACCTGAGTTTGTTGACTCATCTGATCCACAAGAAGTTCTGATATGAACACTCTTGGCAGAGGCCCATTGATTCCACTACCATCATCAGTATCAGGAGCCTGAGAAATGGTTGGAGGTGAAAACCAAAATGCTTTTAGCTTTTTGGCTGGGAATGCCAATTCTTGTTGTCGTGTATATCCAAAGTCCAGAAAAAAGTCTGCTAACGAATCAATTCCATGGCCATTCACCTAATTCATCACAGACCCAAACACAAGTTCAACATTAACAAGACTTATAACAAACATAAACTGAAAAAACAAGAATTAAATTATCCAAGACAACATAAACAACAAAGGAAGTGAGGGCCAACTCCGGATCAGTAAAGGAAAACAACGGAAATTTAACTTAATTTTGGAGGAGGGAAATACCCCAAAAGTCCTAAATGCAAGATGATCGTAGCAAATTTTATCATTATCGACCGATGGAACAAGCTCCAATATGGCTTTTGCTGTGGGATTACGGCTCAGATAAACTGCCTCCATGCTCGCCAAAATATTCCGAAGAAATGATTGAGCCCCCTACAAAAAGAAATCACAATTCACAGCTCAATTCTTCATCAACAGAATTAGTTTGATGCATAAAAAAGCAGAAAAATGACCCTGAAACGCGATTCTTGCGGTCCATTTCCGGTGGGTTCAGCACTGGACACGATCGAGAGCAATCTCTTCCCGGCAGAAGCCGAACCTTCGCGAAACGGCACCGATGATGATTTTCCGACGAGGGAAATGAAATTTTTGGAGATGGGTATTGAAGAAAAAGAAGTTTCAGAAGATTTTCGTCGGAAACTGGAGAAACTTCTTACCGTTGAGGAAGAGAGGGATGCCATGGATTGGGTTTCTGATTAGATTTCTCGCGCAGTGTTGGATGGAGAAGAGATTACGTACAGCTTCGACCCAACGGCATTGCGTTAGCATGTGCATAGTGGCAAAATTTCGGGCTTCTGGCATCACGGATTTATCGGATTTTGATCTGCGAATTGCCACTTGTTTACGGAATTCCTTCTTGAGAGGATTAGAACGGGTGGGGATTATATAAAAAAATAATAAAAAGAATTCCTTGTTCAAATTGAGTTTTGCTTTTGTTCGGATTGATCCCAAATTAAAAAAAAATATATATATTGGAAATCCTCTCCAATTGGATTAAACTAAATTACAGTTAGTTTGCTAATCATTTCAAATTTTGTCTCTGTTTTGAAAAGTAAGTTATTTCGGCTGTTTAATAATGTTATATTTATAGTTTAATTTTTTAAGAAATATTAATGTTTGGTAATTGTTATGGTTGTATATTTCTCATTTTCAAGAAATTTTTCAAAATTGTGTTAACATCCCAACAGAATCGATGATTTCTTTGATAACATCTATGTTTTTTTACTTATTCTTTCTTATTTCATGTTTCTTGTTTCTTTTTTTTTAAAAAAATATAACCATGTTTACAAAATACTCCTTGATTCTTATTACAATTATTATTTTATTAAAAAAAGAAACATAAACATGTTATAGTAATATTTTTTGTTTCTATGAAATGGGTTCAATGTCCAATTATGAAACCCTTGGAAAAAGAGGATGAATCGAAATATAGCTGCTACACCAAAACTAGGCGCAAAGAACCAACCAGACTGACCTAGTGGATAAATCAGGAATACAGAAACAAAAACAGCAATTGGACCCGAGAATGCGATTGCATTATAAGGTCGCAATTGAACAGATCGAGCAAGTTCAAATTGACGTAACATGAAACCTATTAGTCCGAAAGCACCGTGGAGAGCAACAAAAGTCCACAGACCACCTAATTGACACCAACGAGTAAAATCTCCTTGTGCTTCAGGACCCCATAGTAACAACAAAGAGTGTGCTAAGCTATTAGCAGGAGTAGAAACTGCGGCGGTTAAGAAGTTGCATCCTTTCATTTCTGGATCGAGTAAATAGCTCGACGAACGAATGGATCGGATCGAATTGGAAAATGGAAAGATTTGTACAAGTTATACCTTTCGTCACCACTTTGTGGAAAATCGTTAGGTATGAATATGTTAGATACCTGTGACTCGATTGGTGAAATAGTATCTCTCTCCAAAAAAGCATGTTTTTTTTTACTGCCGCACAAAGAAAATATTTTGTTGCGAATGAACAAGATATTGAGGAATTGTCCATACGTAAAATCATAATTATTGATACGGGCCTTTTCCACATAATCCACATAAAAAGGGAATCTTTTGTTACAATAGAAGCAGAAGTGATGTGGATTATTCAAGAATCGAAGTCGAGTTGCTTTA